CCACTCATCCGCCGAAATGCCATAGCTTCGTTGGACTGGATAGGCAAATCAGCTCCAGTCCCCCTGCTGCACAAGGAAAACAACTGTGAAGCTAAAACAATCCGAAAGGATCCCTATGATTCCAAGGGTTACACACACACACACCGGGTGACCTCGTGCCCTGCCGGTGTTTGGTGCTTCCTCACCCCCAACACCATCGCCGTTTCCCGCCTTCATCACCGTCCAAACACCCTCGGTCCTCCGTCAGGACTCGGTGCTTTTCACTTTGTGCCCCAAGCGGATTGGCCGCGCAGCGCTCGTCTTCTTTCCTTCGCCCACCTGGTCGCACCAGACAAGCGCGGCGACGCGAGCGGCGTGGGTCCGTCATGGCTGTCCAGCCGAAGTGCACTTGGGACTCCAGAGCCAGCAACTGGAGCGAAAAAGGCATCGATTCATCAAACCCAAGTACTTGTTGAACGTGTTGAGACCGAACGTGTTGAGACCAAATCCCATATTCCCTAGGCCTCCAAGTACCTTCCTTGAAGGTGTTTGGGGTGGGTGTTCTCCTGTTGCTACCAGGGATTGGGGAAGTCAACTGGCCGATCACACTCAAGTCACTCCGGTTCGCATGCAGCGAGGCCAGGCCTAGGGCGACAGCCTTGCCCAGTGCCATGGCCCAGTGCCATATACATCAGGCCAGGGGTGGTGGTGCCGGAGGGGTCTTTCTGGGTCGGAAATCCCACTGGTCCCAAAGGTGTGGTTTTGTCTCGGGGTCTCAGGTCTGGTACGCGCCGGCCTGATCTTCCGTGGCGGTCGCTCCCACCAGTTCAAGGACGCGATGATGAGCAGCAGCCAAGCGACGAGTCCTGGGGCGCAGCTCTCACACCAAAAGCAGTCATTCGAGATGCCCTTAAGTGACGTTCAACAGGCTTCTTGCTCCGTTAGCTTCTGGCCTCCAACCTCCATGCGGATAGCTAAGCATGTTCCCGTTCGTCGCGTCCTTTCTCGCTCCGTTCGTAAGGCCGCCCCCAAATGCGTAGCTGGCGTACTAGTCTGCCCTCCCAGTCCCGGCGGCTCCCGGTGACGCCTTGAAAAGCTCACGATCGCCGTATCACTGGGGATCTGCCGCAGCAAGCGGAGGGCATCCTGGCGATGAAGGGAAGACGGTGGCCAGTAAAAAGGAAGGAACAGGAATAGAAAGGACACAAGAAAGGGGTGGTGGGAAGTGGGAACGTCCCAAACCATATACAGTAAATCATATTCCAAATGTTATGCAGAAGTTGGGATATGTTTGGATCTGCACTTGAGGTGATGGGGGTCATGAGACTTGGAGACTGTGTGTTGCATGTCGTACACATGACATGTAGAAAGGTCGGAACTGGTCTGGTCATGCGCGACTTCTTCGGTCGCGTTTCTTAGGTGCCTATAGGAGTCCTTACCAAGCAAGTTCTGAGCGTTGCACATGCCAAGGCATGCAGCGCAGAGTCGCAGCGAGCGCTGCACACGCCAATCCCGGTGTTTTCTCCGAAACGTACGGATCGAAACGATTGGACTTGGCATTGTTAGATTCTTCGGGATCTATTTTTCACAATTGACCATGGTTGCCCGGGCCACCTCATCTGGCAAGTTTGCCAAGGGTTCATCCAGCAAGGCCAGCTTGGGCTGTCGTAGCAGCAGTCGAGCCATCAGGAAGCGCTGCTGGTCTTCAGGGCTCAGCACCTCCTGGGGATCCATGGAGTCTGGCCTGGAGCTATACTTGGGTCTATCCTCCAGCAGTCACGTTCGACGGGGTGCGGACTCCATGGAGGTAGGAGTTGGGTGTCCAGCTACTCACATCCACTCACTTGGGAACTAAATGCCACCCCGACATGTGACTCCAAGCTGTTACCAGTAACAATGGATGATGATGATACGGTTGGTATGTGACTTCAGCTGCCAGGCAACTAATCAGTTGACTTGATTTGGTAGTAGTCCCCAAATATATAGATAGGATTGCGGATTGCACGATTTCCAACATGGGGGTCCGTATCATATGACATGACAGGGGGCTATAATTGGGCTAGGCTATGATTATGATTCTTTTAGGAGGCTACGATATCCTTCCGTGAACGCGCCCCACCCGGGACACATAATGGCTGGAGGTATGACACGACAGGGAGAGCATCATGTGCTATTGGCTGAAAACCGTCCTTCTCTGGGTGAGTTAATCTTGTTCGAGGGTGTGCACCACAGCTCGTGATGTGGTGGGGGTGGGAAAAGCACATTGTGAGCAATAACTTGCTCCCACTGATCTGCTACTGTTCTTCGCCCTCCTCGGCTCCTCCCATCGCTCCTCCCATTGGCAGGGACGGTCAGGTGGATGTGCCGCAAGGAGGTGTCCCAAATCCACTAGGTGCAAGGCCAGTTGCGCATCTCCTCCGCACGTGACCCGCCCCAAAAAAGGACACCATCCCAAGAGTCACGTGATGTCACGTGGAGATGGGTGGCTTTTAGTCCCTGAGTGAGTGGATGTTCTGGGCGCCCAAAAACCTCCATGGATGGCACCCCCTTGTGACTGCTGGTGGGCCTTCTTTCATGGTGAGGCCCGCTCAATCCCCTCCGGGTCCTTCCGGCGGCTGCGGATAGGAGAGGAGTTGCCGTAGACTGAGGGGAGGGAACTCAAATCCTCGGCGCGAAGCATGCAGCCAGAGCCACGTCATCTGAACTGCCTCTGCAACGCCGGAAGAACGGACCCATCAGACGGACGAATAGATCGCTAGTTTTGGTTCAGCCCCCCAAGTGATCTGTAAATACTCCCATACACGACCTGCCATGGGACTGCCTGCTAGGACTGCCGACCCATTGACGCCTCAAAGGCCGTTTCTCGGCATATATAGCAGTCCCATGGAGTCTATATGGGACTTCTCAGTCAGTAAACAGGGACAATGTCTGGGACGGAGAAATCCACTGACCCATGGTCCATGGTTCTTATTTGTGACTTGCGCAAGTCAGTGAGGGTGCTCAAGGTCTGATTGTTGAAGTATTTTCATGGATTGTTACCCTTTAGCCCTAGCCTTCAAAAGACCACTAACGAAAACTGGTGGGTGACCTGGTTTTATAGTGTTCGATGCTCTTCAGTATGAATGCTTGGAACCGGGTCCACCCTGACTCGTCAAGCACATGCACATGAATGCTTGGTCGTGGGCTGGATGAACATGAACAGGCCATGTAGCTAATTGCTATCCGATATCCCAGGATCCACTGCTACCCCTCTGAGAAGATGATTGCAAACACTGGGCATGTAGGTGCCAGGAGGTGCCAGGAGGGTACCGATCCCATGTAACTGCTAGCTTTTTGTTTGAGGTTTCTGGCGCCTTTCGGCTTCCTGCATCCTGACGGAACTGTCAGTCTGCCCGCCGAACTTCCACGCTCACGGCGAAAGAACCAGCGAGGCAAGTTGAGGCAAGTGACCCTGAATGTAAACGGCATCCTCGTCTTTCCGCACACCTCCGCAGGTCAAAGACCGAAGGCTAAGGGGTTCAATGGGAAACGATTCTGAATGATCCAAGTTCTATTAGATGAATAGATGGGAGACATTGGGAGACCATGTTCCCTCTCTTGGGTTCCGTTCGGCCAAGTTCCAGAATATCCCAGAAATACGAGAGCACAAGAATGCATCGGTGGACCACGACATGGCCAAAAACCACGTCCCCGAGTGGACGAACGAATGGCCGTTCACCTGCCCGACCTGGAGACCATCCACCTCACCTCCAAACACGAGCCGTGACAGGGAGGAACAAGAGGGGTTAACCTGAACGTTCGGACCCGGAAAACCTGGGGTACCGAACTGGTATAGTTCGCCTTCAACCTCTGTTGGGAACAGGTTGAGGTTGCCCAGATCTAAGGCTCCGCACTGCCTGACATGTGGCTCCATAGTCCAGCGATGGCTCGGAGGAGCCTCGGTGCGAGGTTTGGTGCTTACCATGCTGGCCCTAGGCCAGGAGCCCTGCCTACCTCCTATTCGGAGCCCTCTGTCGGGTCGGCTTGGAGGTTCACACCAACGTGTCGGTCGCTCGTGGAGAGGGGTGTGTCGTAAAAGCGCCGCGCCAAATGGACGGGTGTGGATGGCAAGTGCAGGAAATGGGGGGTCCTGGAGCAATGGATACCGGATATTGAACAATTAATATCAGATCCATGATTCCATGATTCCATGGCAAGTGCAGTTCAATATCAGATCCTGGAGCCATGTATATACCTGATTTATTTCAAAAACTAGCCTCTTTAAATCCCCTCTGTGTGGCAGAAAGCCACATTAGGACAGGAGGATGTTACAGGTGATGTTGGGGATCATGTTGTGCTGGCTGTTGATGAAGGATGAATTGCTCAAAGTGGCAATTGGCAGTTGGCAGCCGCAGCATTTCCAACCATTAAAGGCAGTCAAGCACAGTAACAGAATCAGCGCTCTGGAAGTTGTTTTTGTGTTCATTATGTTCATGATCATGCAAAATTGCAAAATATAATACAGTATATATTATATTTACTATATTTATATTGTGCTAATTAGTGCTATTATCATTATCATTATCTATCTATTTAACCGAATCGAATCTAATCTAATCAGTCTGGTCTAATCTGACCCAGAATGAAGGTCCAGTCTAAACACTTGTTCAGTGCCCGGGCCCGTGCTTGCCATGCTGTTGTCTCGCGCAATGAAGCGGGGACACTCACAGATCTTCAACAGCGGTGGCGATGAAGATAGTGGCGGCGATGAAGATAGTGAGACTCTGCCCAACCATCCAAACAGTTAGGGCCAGCATGAGTGAGCACACCCAGGAATGACACTCAAACCACAGCAAACTAGGTCACGTGGAGCCAACTAAGTAGCTAGAGTCTAGAGCCAGAGCAGTAGCATGGAGCAAGTGCATGTTGGCTCAGGACGGCAATGACAAGGGTGAATCTCCAAGATCGGGGTCTGGGTCCAGCACTCCGTCTTCGTCAAGTGTGCACTCTCCAAGCAGTGGTGGCTGGTCTAGCCATGACCCTGAGCCTAGGTGGCAATCCAACATCCCTACTATTCAGATGGCCGCGCGCTAGATTATTAACAGGCTGACAGACTGACTGTTGGACTAGACTAGAATAGAATAGAGTGACTGGACTGGGCTACAAATTCGACTGCCCAAACTACAGCAAAAGGCGGCCAGCCGTCAGCGACCACACGTTCCACTGAGGAATTCTTTACAGATCCCTCCCTGGAAGCTCAAGATTTCAGCATGTTCCCAGCAAATTTTGTCCAGAGGTGACACAGCTGCACGCAGGTGACAAGTTCAGCTTCGAGTCATAGGTTGCAGAGTCTGGACGCCATCCCTCTACCAAGATTCTCATGTAGGTAGGTCGGTCGGTCGGTCGGTCGGTAGGTAGGTAGGTGTGAGTGTGGCAATTGGCATCCAGTTCCAGATTTTTTGCAGGTGAGGACCACTGTTTCCAGCCTGCCATCCTATCAGTACTTCTATCCCACTTTCACTCTCAGGTACTTGGATACTGCTGGAACTGGCGTTAGACCGGAACACTTCGCTCCTGGTGCCAGGCCAAAGCACGATGAAAAAAATGATGGGTCGGTGACAGTCGGTGACTCAACTTGAATTCTGAATATTCCTATAGTCCTGGTGTCATATACATACGCCGATGCCATGGTACCAGGCATCAGTGTGAACAGCGTTGCTGTGTGTAATTAGAAGGCAACTAAACCAATCCCCATGGCAACCTGCCTGCCAGGATCACAGTTTTTGGCGGTTGTGAAGGCCTTTCGACACCAGCGTATGTTCTGCAGCCCGCCTGTCAATATTGGCTACCCCGTTCCGAAGACGTTTCTAGTTTTTGTTGATGCTGATTTTGCAGAGTCACAGAATGTGGTTCAGTGAGGGAACAAACAACTGCTGCCAAGGAAGCACGTCATGGAAGCTACGGGGCTGGATGTTGTTCTCAAGTTTTCCTCAGAGATCAACCGAAATGCCAGACAATTTTGTCTGAAGAATGGTGGATGAGCCCTGGCAGCAAGACTGTCCACAGACTGCACTATGGTGGCACGCGCGGTACTGGTTCATTCACTTGTTTGACATTGTAGTCATAGTTGTCATTATTAAACAAACCGCCAATAATCATGGTGAAGAGTGAAGAGTGAAGAACTAGTACTAGGACTAGAACGTTCAAATAAGACTAGGCTGACCGACTGACCCAAGACTCAAGAAACCAGTGGACACAGCCACAGCTAAGGGAAGCACTTCTTCAGTGATGTCAGGAAGCCCGAATCCAATCAGCTCTGCCACGTTTGCAACAAAGTTCACAGCAATGAGCTTTGGCAAACAGTTGGGTGAGTCAGGTCTGTTTTTGTTTCTGAGGATCAAGGCAGGTGGCAACCAGCACTACGGGTTGAAGTGCATTCTGCACATATTCCGATTCCACATTCCAGTTCTCATTTTACAATTTTTACCCCTTCAAGACACATATTTACATTTGTCTGTGACAGATGTCCTGAGATGTCCTGAGGAAAGCATGTCCGACAGTGACAACGACGATGACGGTGGCCTGGACATGGGAGTCTTTGGAATCCCATGCCCACTCTTTAGCCAGCTCAATAAAAACACTCATGGACAAACACGACAGGAAGTACCCTACAACCCCTTTCTGAGACTTGCCAAAAACATAAGTCGGGACGGGCACGGATACAGGCTACAGGTACCAGTATCGTGGTATCGGCATCGGCGGCATCGGTATGATCTGACTATATCTGACTGGACTACGGACTACTGTACTGTACATGACATGACAGTTGGAACAGTTGGAAGCTTTGGCTAGCCAGAAAGAAAGCACCCAGCTGGTTTGTGGTCACACGTGCTGAGGACTAAGGGGGCGGACACTGTCAAAAGCTGTTTGCTCAAACTTCGGCAGCGCAACCCGAAGACCTTTATAGTTGAGGAAGAGCCTTGGCTGACACACCCTCAAAGTCCTGAGTCCTACGTAACTCTCATGATTATCGATTTAGGTGATTTTGATTTAGGATCTTGGAAAGGAACATCAATCACGAGGGAAGTCCTTCAAAAGGGTAACAGTAACAGTCAATAACTTGTGTTTATGCAGGACGGACTCGAGGACGTTGAGGTAACACGAAATTGCCCGACTGCAGAAAGTCTTGGACTGAACGCACTAAACCCTACTGTACTTTCTTGAGGGTTTAGGCTGGGACCAGCTGGTCTTAGAGACGCCCACTTAGCCGCTAGCCGCTTAGTCTACACAGGGTCGTCTCGTCTTAGGGTTAGGATTGGGGTGGTCCTGGCCAGGATGTGTAGTCTACAGGAGTCCAGACACATTGCATTGTTGCATTGCTGCATAGACTAGACGTTTAGTCGAGTCAGTTTAGTCTGCAATCACTATTCAAAACCCTACTTGGATCCTGTGTGCTGTGCACTGAACCACGAGCATCTAAAGCTGGCCCTTAGCTGAGGTTTGCGGCATTTTGAAGCCTTTCGTTCCGCCATTGCTGGATGAGTATGCTGCTTACGAGGTGGGGTCCTGCCAGGTCTCCTGGAAACGCAGTACATAGACATAGTACAGTACAGTACAGTACATGCTTTAATACTTTGTCACTTTGTCTATCATCGAATCTGAATCTTGTTTGACTCCTTCCGTTCTGTTTTACACAAAACCCATACAGTAAATACATCATTTATACTGACTTGAACAGTTCCTGCTCAGAGTCGAGAATGCTGCGGTAGGAGTCCGGAATCCGGAGAGTTTAAGTTTTAAGACTCAAGACTCCAAGTCTTTGTGAAATCAGGGATGGCTTTCCAACCACTTTCAACCCATGCGGTGATGCGGCCACATGTTTTTCACATTCCACATTTCCACAACAGTCACGTTTCAAATCATTTTGAAACAATACGAAGAGGCAGAAGAGACACACACAGTCACACACATTCATTACTATCACATACATACTATAATTCTAGACTGTCTGGATATATTACTTACTGCATTGCAGCGCGCCATGCAGCGTGGTCTCGAGGAGTCTCACATATGCCGCTGGTCAGTTTGTCTTCAGACCAGATGTCAGATGACGGTGACAGTGACGTTCCAAGTTCAGCATCAGCTGCTGTTCCCAAGAATGGCACTCACTCACGTGGAAACGTGGGGCACTTGGGGGGGCTGTTGAGTAGTTCAAGCTCATCATATGATGACAACTTATCTGATGACTCAACTCCTTCAATGAGCTCTGGGGAAAGTCATCATTCAGAGAAAGAAGAGAGTGCGGAAGCCAACTTGGAAAACATTGCTGCACTTCAGCGAAAGCTGAAAAATCAAAAAAAGACAGCCAAGGCCCGTGAAACAGTTTTGATGAACAAAGCTAAGAGGAAGCTTGCGCAGCAGGCCCAATTGAAGTTGCCAGGCCATCCTGCAGAGGAGTTCCGTTCGTTGGTTCAGCCTGAGAGTGTTCTGAATCAGCCAGGTGGAACAGGCACCCGAAGATTCCAGCGGCTAAGGCTTCTGATCAGTTTTTTGAAAAGGTGGGCAGCTACACTGGTGACTTTTTTCTCTGGCACTGACAGCACTGAGTCTGACGAGGGTGTCCCCAAGCCTGACATAAGCCATACTTTGATCACCTGTGTCATTGATGATACCAATATGAGGCTCTCCAGCCCTTCAGTGCCAGGCGCTAATGAGATAAAAAAGTCACGAGTGGTCAGTGTCATGAACCATGTGCAGCAACTCATACTTTGCTACACAAAGGCAGCGGCAGGTGGCAATGACTGTGCAAACAACACAACGCCAGGGCCCGTCCAACATAGGTACCTGACAGTGCATACTCCCTTAGTATGCCTGCCAAAGGCCGACACCCGCACCATCGCGGTTGAATTTGTGACGAGACTATTGTTCTTTGTGGGCCGTGTTCCACGGCGTTTTGAA